CTCTCCAGAAGGCTCAAACCACACACCCACGTGCTGACTCACGAGGGGTCGCACGCCCACCAAGTTCCGGGAGAACGAGGGGACGTGAAACCCAGTGAGAGACCCGGAGGGAGCAGCAGGACACGGTAAAGTGGTAGTGTGACGTGCAGTGACTGGTCCCGTAGTGGGATCAGCCAAAGCCACAGAAACAGGCGCAGGAAGTGGTGTAAGTGTCGTGCTGTCCCGGAAGAAGCAGTGTGAGGCTCCAGAGTCCAGCGTGAACGACAGCGAAGCGTCCTCTGAGGTAGTCGCTGGTCTAGAGTCTACACAAGAACCTACACTAGCAACAGGCAACTGAGCAAGACTAGCACCTAAGCTAACAACACCAGAGTAAACAGAGTCAGAAACACTAGAGTCAACAACAGCATACATAGCATGAGGAGCACCAATCAGATCAACTAACTGCTCAGCAGACATGCCCCACAGAGCGGAGCCGTAGCGCTGAACCAGAGGAAGCCAGTCAAGAGCAGGACCGCCAACCCCGTAGGCCAACCGGACCGTGTCAGTGAGCTGAGCAAAGCACTGACCAGGGGGGTGAAAGCGGCCACAAGGGTGGCCCCGACGAGGACCTGTCAGAACCTAATAGGTGCAGGGAGGGTAAGAAGCACCGCGCTGGGGCTGACGCAGCCCCGACCCCGGAGCCAGCTGCTGACGCTGCTGCTGCTGACGCTGCTGCTGCTGAGGCTGGCGGGAGGAAAGGGGTTGCTGCTGCTGCTGAAGGTGCTGCTGACGCTGAGCCTGGTACCACGCCGCTGCTCCACCTAGCGGGGTCGGCAGTACAGGAGGCGGCTGACGAGCTCGGGGGTCGCCGCCACCAGCAGGCGCAGTGGAGTCACCAGCCGCTGCACGAGGGGTCTCTCCAGACGCTGCACTCCCACCACCGCCAGTCGCAACAGCACCCCCACTACCTCCGCTACCTCCACCTCCACCTCCACCAGAACTACCTTTCTTGCCCCCCTTGCCGCGGGACCGCGACGCAGTCGTAACAGCAGCCGCAGTCGCGTCAGTAGCGGCAGTGGCGAGAGAGGCAGTGAAGGTGGGTAACTGCGGGACTGTGCACCCGTGGAAGAGTGGGGGGGACACAGTACCAGAGGCGGCAGCTACCGAGCGAAGGTTGCTCTCGACGTCCTTGAGTGCAGACTCAAGGACCTCGATAGTCAGCTCACTAGGGTGCTTCAGCAGAAGCGCATCACGAACGGAGGCTAGGCGGTCAGGGAGGCTAGTGGCGATGAAATAGACAGTAATCGCCATGGGGGGAGGAAGCAGTGCAAGCTGTGCCTCAGTGCAAGCAGCGCGGTAACTAGCGTCGAGCGAGCGGAGGTGAGCGATCAAGTCAGCAGAGCGCTCAAACGAGGCGAGATCAGGAAACAAGAACGGGAGGAAAAGATGGCCAAGAGAGACAGTAGCGGGAGTAGAGTAGTGGGCCTTAATCGTAGTGAGGTACGCAGCAGCGGTGCGAACCTGAGTAAAGTGGACCTCCTCTGACTCAGGGAGGAGGCTGCTGAGTGCGATGCAGGCCGCAGCATCACGCGACGTCCAAGCCGTCCGGTCAGCGCGCTGACGGGCAAAGCGAGCCGTAGCAGCGTCGTCAGGGGCAGAGCCTAAAGCTGTAGGCTCGGGGGGCTCGGGGAGGTCACCAGTAGCGTGCGACCAGAGGGTCTCGCCCCCCTGGACCTGACTCTCTAACAGACGGCGAGCGCAAAGAAGCCAGACGGAAAAGTCAAGTGGTCTACCGTCAGCGTCGAAACGAAGAACTCGCGGAGTCGCCATAGTGAGAACTAACGCGAACGAACAGGCGAGTAACAACCGGGGAGAAGAGGCAAATTAGGGTTCAGGTGGGAAGGGGACTCAGTCGCAGCGGAAGAGCGGGCTAGGGCGACGGGCCAGGGCGTAGGGTAGGGCGACGTGCTAGGGCGTAGGGTAGGGCGACGGGCCAGGGCGTAGGGTAGGGCGACGGGCCAGGGCGTAGGGTAGGGCGACGGGCCAGGGCGTAGGGTGGGGCGACGGGCCAGGGCGTAGGGACGGGACAGGGCGACGCGATGGGGCAGGGCGGCGCGATGGGGCAGGGTGACGGGACGGGGCAGGGCGACGCGACGGGGCAGGGCGACGCGACGGGGCAGGGTGACGGGACGGGGCAGGGCGACGCGACGGGGCAGGGCGACGGGACGGGGCAGGGCGACGCGACGGGACAGGGCGACGGGACGGGGGGGAAAGGGCGGGCACGACGTGACGGGGGGAACGGGCGCGACGCGACGGGGGGAAAGAGCGCTAGGCGACGGGGGGAAAGGGCGCGACGCGACGGGGGGGGGGGAAAGGGCGCTAGGCGACGGGGAGAAAGGGCGCTAAGTGACGGGGGAGAGGGCGCTAGGCTCGGTACTAGGCGCGGTAACAACGGAACCGGTACGAACGAGAGGTAGGATCAGGCTCGGGAGGGACGAACGGAGAACGGAGGAACGGGATCCCACAGGATCCTAACCTAGCTGATACCATGTCAAAATGAGGAATGATGATGCCATTGATGTTGGTTGGGGTACATATAACAAACCCTAACTTCTGTACCCCCTAAGACAAACCTCACTACAGGCTACAACATTTGACACGCACATTCAAGAACACTCTCTCTGGTTCTTTTGGCGTTGACTTTCTGACTCCTCCAAAAAGGAATGCTTTCGTCGCCTCCCTGTAACGTTATCAGGAGACTCTGCAGCGGGGACAGTAGCATATGTGTTAGCATATTTGACCTTACAGGGAGTTACTGTCCCCGCTGCAGAGTCTCCTGATAACGTTAGCATATTTGACCTTACTCCTAATAGCTCTGCCCTTGCTGATGCTGCTGCTGCTTCCTCTGCTGCTGCACGCCTCGCCTCACTTAAAGCCCGGAGTCAGCATGGTAATTTATCAAGTTATGTGGGTTTGAAATAGTGTTGGCGAAACCTTGAAAACAAGAATTTCGGCAAAGTCAGTGTAGCGAGACAAATATCGATTGACGAGGGGGAAAGGGGTCTCGCCAAACGTGAAGCGATGGTAAACGATACTGTGCACCTTTGACGGATTTGCAAGCACTGTGGAGCGACTAGAAGGAGTGTCGCAAGGATTGTTCTTCAGCCAATCAGGTTCAAGTAGTGGAGAAGGTCCACGCACAATGCGACTACCACGAGCAAAAACGAAAACAGGAAGCACCAACACGAGTGAGGAGAAAGAACACCACGATCAATCAAGCTAACTACTTCGTGTGAAATAACCGCAGGAGCTAACAACAAGGAAACGTGCAAACGAAGGTGACATGCCAGAAAACGTACATGCTGAGTCGCAGGAAGGAGCGTTGAGAAGAGCGCGACACAGCGCGATATGGCCTCTGGCACATCAATTGCCTCTGGCAGCACGTAGGTCGACGGTTTCGGGGCATTGCGAACGTACATTGGGCTCGAAAGTGCCTATTACTTAGGGCAATGCCACGCTGGGGGCGTCCACAATACGCATGCCCTTAGGGTTATGCAATTCTACTCTGTCAGCCATCGGGCGCCCACAGGCGGGTAGCAGCATGCGAAATACAGAGGCGACCATCCCCCTCACCGCTTTACGCGCAGCTCGCGCCACTGGTCGTCTAGCAGCGCATCAACTCACAAACGTCCAGCGTGCGCACTATTCTATTCGAATAGCAGCGTGGAGAGGACGCTAGAACGAGGCACCACCACACCAGGACAGGTACACGTGCTCCGCGCCCCTGCACTCTGCGCTCTGCCCCCTCCGCCCCCTACGTTCTGCCCCCTGCGCTCTGCTCTATGAGCCCTGCGCTCTGCGCCCTATTCTCTGCGCCCTATGCACAGCGCCCTATGCTCGGCGCCCTATGCACTGCGCCCCATGCTCTGCGCCCCATGCTTTGCGCCCAATGCTCCGCGCCCTATGCTCTGCGCCCCATGCTCTGCGCCCCATGCTCTGCGCCCCATGCTCTGCGCCCTATGCTCTGCGCCCCATGCTCTGCGCTCTATGCTCTGCGCCCCATGCTCTGCGCCCTATGCTCTGCGCTCCATGCTCTGCGCCCTATGCTCTGTTCCCCATGCTCTGCGCCCTATGCTCTACGCCCCATGCTCTGCGCCCTATGCTCTACGCCCATGGCCCACCCTTTCTCCCCCTCATCCCTGCTTCACCACATTTCCCTCCCTGCTTCACCTCATTTCCCTCACTGCTTCACCTCATTTCCCTCCCTGCTTCACCTCATTTCCCTCACTGCTTCACCTCATTTCCCTCCCTGCTTCACCTCATTTCCCTCCCTGCTTCACCTCATTTCCCTCCCTGCTTCACCTCATTTCCCTCACTGCTTCACCTCATTTCCCTCCCTGCTTCACCTCATTTCCCTCACTGCTTCACCTCATTTCCCTCCCTGCTTCACCTCATTTCCCTCCCTGCTTCACCTCATTTCCCTCACTGCTTCACCTCATTTCCCCCCCTGCTTCCCCTCGTTTCCCCCTCTTCTTCACCTCGCTTCATCTTCCTATCTCACACTTTCCCTCTCCCCCTCTTCCTATCTCCCCTCTTCCCTATCCTCCCTCTTTTTACGGTACTTATGTCTTTCCCTCTCAGCCCTGCTTTCCTCTCCCCCCTCTTCCCTATCTCCCTTGTTTGACTTTAGTCTTGTTCCCCCTCCCCATCCCTCGTATTCCCTCCCTCTCCCTGGGTAGTGAAGTGGCACCAATGAAGATTTTCTGGCACTGCAACTCGCCGAAGACCATCATCCCATCCCTCATGTTTTTTTCAAGTCCTTGAGAAGGGTACAATCAAAAGTAGAATCATGCCTCTATCTACCCTTCTGACACTCTTGCCCATGCATCTTGGAAGAATACATTGCACTGCAGAAACATATTGCGCTTTTGAAATGGATATCTCCAACAGAAATACAGTATCATGCTTGCATACAACACACAAGAAACAGGTGGTGGTACGGCGTAAAGCATGGACTAGCTCTAGCTGCGCCTCAGCTTGCTCCTCTGCTTCACCACTGAAAATTTGGAGAGTGGAGTAGGCAGAAAGAATTGTGTGATGGAACATGGGGGAAGTGGTGTGAGGTGCCAAGGGAAAAACTGCAGGGGAACACAAGCAAGCGCACATGATGAAAGCATGTACCGGTATGGGGAGACAATGATGGGTGCACATGCATGGTAACTGGAGGGCGGAAGATGAGGGGGAAGGTGAGGGCATGACATGAAAGGGGAGGTTTGAGAAGGGATGGAGAAGGGAAGGGCAGGGCAGGGAGGGAAAGGCAGGGATGGGGAGGGCAGGTGGGAACATGGGTGGGTGCGAGGGGAAGGAGGGCTGAGGGTGGTGGGGAGTAGAGTGCGAGTGCGAGAGGACGGAGAGAGAGAGTGCGAGAGGACTGAGAGGTGTGAGTGCAGGAGGAAGGAGAATGAGAGTAATGGGAGGCAGCAGGGGGGGGGGGGATGGGGGGAAGCAGGGAAGGGGATGGGGGGAAGCAGGGGAAGGGATGAGGGGAAGCAGGGAAGGGGATGAGGGGAAGCAGGGAAGGGGATGGGGGGAAGCAGGGAAGGGGATGGGGGGAAGCAGGGAAGGGGATGGGGGGGAAGCAGGGAGGGGGATGGGGGGAAGCAGGGCAGGGGATGGGGGAAAGTAGGGAAGGGGATGGGGGGAAGCAGGGAGGGGGATGGGGTGAAGCAAGGCAGGGGATGGGGGGAAGCAGGGAAGGGGATGGGGGAAAGCAGGGGAGGGGATGAGGGGAAGCAGGGAAGGGGATGAGGGGAAGCAGGGAAGGGGATGGGGGGAAGTAGGGAAGGGGATGGGGGGAAGCTGGGAAGGGGATGGGGGGAAGCAGGGAAGGGGATGGGGTGAATCAGGGAAGGGGATGGGGGGAAGCACGGGACGGGATGGGGGGAAGCAGGGAAAGGGAAGGGGGGAAGCAGGGAAGGGGATGGGGGGAAGCAGGGAGGGGGATGGGGGGAAGCAGGGCAGGGGATGGGGGGAAGCAGGGAGGGGGATGGGGGGAAGCAGGGCAGGGGATGGGGGGAAGCAGGGAAGGGGATGGGGAAAAGCAGGGGAGGGGATGAGGGGAAGCAGGGAAAGGGATGGGGGGAAGCAGGGAAGGGGATGGGGGGAAGCAGGGAAGGGGATGGGGTGAAGCAGGGAAGGGGATAGGAGGAAGCAGGGGAGGGGATGGGGGGAAGCAGGGGAGGGGATGGGGGGAAACAGGGAGGGGGATGGGGGGAAGCAGGGGAGGGAATGGGGGGAAGCAGGGGAGGGGATGGGGGGAAGAAGGGAAGGGGATGGGGGGAAACAGGGAGGGGGATGGGGGGAAGCAGGGGAGGGGATGGGGGGGAATCAGGGAAGGGGATGGGGTGAAGCAAGGAAGGGGATGGGGGGAAGCAGGGAAGCGGATGGGGGGAAGCAGGGAAGGGGATTGGGGGAAGCACGGGACGGGATGGGGGGAAGCAGGGAAAGGGAAGGGGGGAAGCAGGGAATGGGATGGGGGGAAGCAGGGAGGGGGATGGGGGGAAGCAGCGCAGGGGATGGGGGGAAGCAGGGAGGGGGATGGGGGGAAGCAGGGCAGGGGATGGGGGGAAGCAGGGAAGGGGATGGGGGAAAGCAGGGGAGGGGATGAGGGGAAGCAGGGAAAGGGATGGGGGGAAGCAGGGAAGGGGATGGGGGGAAGCAGGGAAGGGGATGGGGGGAAGCAGGGAAGGGGATGGGGTGAAGCAGGGAGGGGGATGGGGGGAAGCAGGGCATGGGATGGGGGAAAGTAGGGAAGGGGATGGGGGGAAGCAGGGAGGGGGATGGGGTGAAGCAAGGCAGGGGATGGGGGGAAGCAGGGGAGGGGATGGGGGGAAGCAGGAAAGGGGATGGGGGGAAACAGGGAGGGGGATGGGGGGAAGCAGGGGAGGGAATGGGGGGAAGCAGGGGAGGGGATGGGGGGAAGCAGGGAAGGGGGATGGGGGGAAGCAGGGCAGGGGATAGGGGAAAGCAGGGAAGGGGATGGAGGGAAGCAGGGAAGGGGATGGGGGGAAGCAGGGAAGGGGATGGGGGAAAGCAGGGGAGGGGATGAGGGGAAGCAGGGAAAGGGATGGGGGGAAGCAGGGAAGGGGATGGGGGGAAGCAGGGAAGGGGATGGGGGGAAGCAGGGAAAGGGATGGGGGGAAGCAGGGAAGGGGATGGGGGGAAGCAGGGAAGGGGATGGGGGGAAGCAGGGAAGGGGATGGGGTGAAGCAGGGAGGGGGATGGGGGGAAGCAGGGCAGGGGATGGGGGGAAGCAGGGAAGGGGATGGGGGAAAGCAGGGGAGGGGATGAGGGGAAGCAGGGAAGGGGATGGGGGGAAGCAGGGAAGGGGATGGGGGGAAGCAGGGAAGGGGATGGGGTGAATCAGGGAAGGGGATGGGGGGAAGCACGGGACGGGATGGGGGGAAGCAGGGAAAGGGAAGGGGGGAAGCAGGGAAGGGGATGGGGGGAAGCAGGGAAGGGGATGGGGGAAAGCAGGGGAGGGGATGAGGGGAAGCAGGGAAAGGGATGGGGGGAAGCAGGGAAGGGGATGGGGGGAAGCAGGGAAGGGGATGGGGGGAAGCAGGGAAGGGGATGGGGTGAAGCAGGGAGGGGGATGGGGGGAAGCAGGGCAGGGGATGGGGGGAAGCAGGGAAGGGGATGGGGGAAAGCAGGGGAGGGGATGAGGGGAAGCAGGGAAGGGGATGAGGGGAAGCAGGGAAGGGGATGGGGGAAAGCAGGGGAGGGGATGGGGGGAAGCAGGGAAGGGGATGGGGGGAAGCAGGGAAGGGGATGGGGGGAAGCACGGGACGGGATGGGGGGAAGCAGGGAAAGGGAAGGGGGGAAGCAGGGAAGGGGATGGGGGGAAGCAGGGAGGGGGATGGGGGGAAGCAGGGCAGGGGATGGGGGGAAGCAGGGAGGGGGATGGGGGGAAGCAGGGCAGGGGATGGGGGGAAGCAGGGAAGGGGATGGGGGAAAGCAGGGGAGGGGATGAGGGGAAGCAGGGAAAGGGATGGGGGGAAGCAGGGAAGGGGATGGGGGGAAGCAGGGAAGGGGATGGGGTGAAGCAGGGAAGGGGATAGGAGGAAGCAGGGGAGGGGATGGGGGGAAGCAGGGGAGGGGATGGGGGGAAACAGGGAGGGGGATGGGGGGAAGCAGGGGAGGGAATGGGGGGAAGCAGGGGAGGGGATGGGGGGAAGAAGGGAAGGGGATGGGGGGAAACAGGGAGGGGGATGGGGGGAAGCAGGGGAGGGGATGGGGGGAAGCAGGGAAGCGGATGGGGGGAAGCAGGGAAGGGGATTGGGGGAAGCACGGGACGGGATGGGGGGAAGCAGGGAAAGGGAAGGGGGGAAGCAGGGAAGGGGATGGGGGGAAGCAGGGAGGGGGATGGGGGGAAGCAGCGCAGGGGATGGGGGGAAGCAGGGAGGGGGATGGGGGGAAGCAGGGCAGGGGATGGGGGGAAGCAGGGAAGGGGATGGGGGAAAGCAGGGGAGGGGATGAGGGGAAGCAGGGAAAGGGATGGGGGAAGCAGGGAAGGGGATGGGGGGAAGCAGGGAAGGGGATGGGGGGAAGCAGGGAAGGGGATGGGGTGAAGCAGGGAGGGGGATGGGGGGAAGCAGGGCAGGGGATGGGGGAAAGTAGGGCAGGGGATGGGGGGAAGCAGTGAAGGGGATGGGGGGAAGCAGGGAAGGGGATGGGGGAAAGCAGGGGAGGGGATGAGGGGAAGCAGGGAAGGGGATGAGGGGAAGCAGGGAAGGGGATGGGGGGAAGTAGGGAAGGGGATGGGGGGAAGCAGGGAAGGGGATAGGAGGAAGCAGGGGAGGGGATGGGGGGAAGAAGGGAAGGGGATGGGGGGAAGCAGGGGAGGGGATGGGGGGAAACAGGGAGGGGGATGGGGGGAAGCAGGGGAGGGAATGGGGGGAAGCAGGGGAGGGGATGGGGGGAAGCAGGGAAGGGGATGGGGGGAAACAGGGAGGGGGATGGGGGGAAGCAGGGGAGGGAATGGGGGGAAGCAGGGGAGGGGATGGGGGGAAGCAGGGAAGGGGGATGGGGGGAAGCAGGGCAGGGGATAGGGGAAAGCAGGGAAGGGGATGGAGGGAAGCAGGGAAGGGGATGGGGGAAAGCAGGGGAGGGGACGAGGGGAAGCAGGGAAGGGGATAAGGGGAAGCAGGGAAGGGGATGGGGGGAAGTAGGGAAGGGGATGGGGGGAAGCAGGGAAGGGGATGGGGGGAAGTAGGGAAGGGGATGGGGGGAAGCAGGGAAGGGGATGGGGGGAAGCAGGGCAGGGGATACGGGGTAAGAGGGGATAGGATGGGGGGAAGCACGGCAGGGGATACGGGGAAACAGGGAAGAGGATGGGGGGAACGGGGGCAGATGCTGGGGAGAGAGCTGGGGGGAGGATGGTGGGGAGCAGAGAGGGAATCAAAACGCTGTTCGATTGTGGTGGTGGAAGCGACCACCTCTGTTTCTCCCCATCTGTTCCTCCCCATCTGTCCCACCCCTTCGGAAGGAATGAGGGAGGAAGGATGGGCTGGAGATGGTGAGATGGGGAGAGGGGAAGAGCGGATGGAAACGCGGATGACGAGGGGAAGCGCGAGTGACTGGGAGGCAAGCCCGACGACGGGACGCGCGGGCGACGAGGGGAGGCGAGGGCGGCGAGGGTCGGCACGGGTGATGAGGGGAAGCGCGAGCGACGAGAGGGAATGTCGGTGACCAAGGGAGGTGAGGGCGGCGAGGATCGGTGTGGGTCGACGAGGGTGATGAGGGGAGCGCGGGTGACGATCTGAAGCGCGGTATGTTTACTACTAGCACTTGCGACGAGGGGATGTGTGGTTAACGTGGGAGAGCGTGGGCAACTACGGGAACATATGCGACCAGAGGGTCGGGGAGGGTAATGAGGGAAAGCGCGGGCGACGAGGAAAGCGGTCTGACGTGGGCAAGAGCGGTCGACGAGGAGGAACATGTGCGACTAACGGCTGAGTGCGTTACGCGAACCACTACGGCATTCGCGTGAGCGACCCGTGCCTAAAACGGTACGATCGTGACACGAGGCTGAATGGCAGCAAGTGTGACAAGATCCTGCGTGTGCGACGCGAGCTTGAATCCAAGACTCGAGTAACGCGAATCTCGTTTACTAACGTAAGTGCCGTGGGTGTATGGGTTGTAACACGAGACCGGTGACGTGAGGGAGAGATTAGAGCGTGCACTGACTAAGATGGTTGAGGTGGACTTATATTTCCGTCCGCACAAAAAAAAACACCTATCAACGACTCGCTTTTGCCAACTAGAGCTAGTTTTTGCCTTGGAGCCTCCTAGCCTATGAGTACTACTTGGTAAGCAAGTTATGTGAGTGGTGAATAGTACAAATGGTTGGCGATCATCGCGTCAGTTCTGGATTTGGGCACTCGGGTTCCGTTGTCGCAGGACGATTGCTGGGGTCGCGAGAATTTTCTCAAACAAGTAGGGTAACCCTGTTATTGGCGACTTCAAGTTCAAGAATCTTGAACTTGAAAGTTACCATGCTGTACTCGGGCTTTAAAGCCTCAGTTATTGGATCTACTACAAGTGGACTGCCCAGAGGCCCTCCGGGATCCCCTCCGCGGACAAACGGTCCCGTCACAAAGAAACCGTACCACGCCTCAACAGCTGCACTATTTTCTGCCAAAATTATAAATAACCAAGACTCCTGACACCACAGTGCTGCGGTAACTTCACAGGTATGTACACATCGATTAATATCACAAGGTACAAGTAAATCGTTGCATCTTACTGTACAGCTCGACATGACACACCAGCATTTGCTATATACACATCGTCCCCCATTATCCATACCATTTTCGCCTACTCTCAACAGCCCTTCCTTGGTACTGATGGCTCCAGGTCACATCTCTTTCGCTAGCTGCTCTTCGCTCTTCTGCTTGCCACGTTTCAAACATTTCTTCAGTTTCTTCTGCCCTTGACCCGCCGACTTCTTCGTGACGACGCGCTTTCGCACCTTCTTAACAGCTCCCACCTCTACAACATCACCAGAAGACTCTGTAGAGGGGATAGGAGCACCAGTGGCAGCACCAGCTGCAGCATCACCAGCAGCAGCTACGTCCCCTCCTGCACCCTCTGGTTGTGCTGCAGGGGCTACCTCCCCCGCAGCACTCTCTGCTACTACTGCAGGTGCTACCTCCCCTCCTGCACCCTCTGCTACTGCTGCAGGTACTGCCTCCCCCCCAGCACCCTCCGTTTCTGCAGGTGCTACCTCCCCCCCAATATCCTCCGTTGCTGCAGGTGCTGCCTCCCCCCCAGCGCCCTCCGTTTTTGTAGGTGCTACCTCCCCCCCAGCACCATCTGTTGTTGCAGGTGCTACCTCCCCCCCAGCACCCTCTGCTACTGCTGCAGGTGCGACCTCCCCCCCAACACACTCCGCTCCCGCTATGAGTTCTTCTTTTACTTCCACTGCTGCCGCTGCTCCCGCTCCTCCTGCACTTGTGCTTGCTACATCTGCTGCTGCTGCCTCAACTGCTCCAGCAACCTTCAGCACCCCACAACTTCCTACACCCACCTCCTCTCGTCCTGCTGCTGAAGCCATTTCTGATTCCACCTTTGCTGCTACTGCTGCGGCCTCCTCTGGTGCTGTTCCCACCACTCCCCCTTCAGCATCAGCTGCCACACCTTCCGGCTGTTCCTCTGCCATTGGCCCTCCCGCGGGTACACCGCTCTCCCCTCCACGAATGAATGACCCTGCCACGAAAAACCCAAACCACGCCTCGAACGCCGCACTCGTCTCCGCCTGTGTTTTCGTCATGCAGCTACTGCCCGTGAAGCTGCCCCAACCGGGCAGCTCAACCGTGCTTGTGAAAATCGGGCAGTGAGACGGCCCATGCACACCTGTGGAGTAGGACGGCATGCACCCTAACATGCGGCTGCAATCCACCTGCAGCAGCAACTTCGCATGTACTTTCGCAATCTCTTTCGCCACAGCTGCGACGTGGGCGGCGTCTGCTGGTGGCTGCGCGTCCGGACAGGATAGGTTTCCTGAAATCGCATTCCTGAAGGCAGCGCGATATGCTAAGAGTTCGGCGTCTTTTTTTCGTAGACCAAGGACGGAAGTCGGCCTACTGGCCGATTCTTCCCTCGAGATCTGCTGCCAGCTTTCCGGCAACCCGCGGAAAGTTTTAGATCCGAAAGTGACTTGGAAGTCCCAAGTCAACAAATGAGGGGATCCTCTTGATCCCAGGGAGAGACCTTGAGGCGGCGACACGTTAATCGCTGAAGCGAGATCTTGTAGGAGCTTAGAAAACATGATTCTAAGAAGGTATTACCTTGTAATATGACTGACAACTTTTTCCAATCTCACGTTTGACGCCAAGTACAACGAAAATGAGCGATAGGAATCGATCAGGAAGGACTAGGCCCTGGCAATATGCGACGTCACGTCTTAAGTGGAGCCCCACCTCGCATTTTCTGGGTGAGAGAGACCGTGGTCGGGAGATTTTTCCGATAAGATCTGCAGGAACCAGGCGCGGGAGATGCCGTTTGGTTCGTTCCTCTACACGCCAGACCGCAACGATCTACGGCGGAGAGGACATTCTTCGACATTCTTCTAAATCAAGGCGGGAAATCCGAGCCGCTCGAGTTGTAACAGCTGTCCGTCCTACCTCGTCACTAACGCCAGGATGCGAAAGTTATTCTACGAGCAGTTGCGATTTGTGCATGCAGAATGGTGACTTTGTCAACTGGTTTGCTCTGCATGTGTAAAATGCTTGCTGTCGAAGGGGTGACTGGTTGATTGACTGGTCGATTGGGCGAGTAGGCGAAGAGGCGAGAGGGCGAAGAGGCGGGTTGGCGACTTGGCGAATCCACGAATGCGCGAGCTCAGTTTCGTGGCCAATCTGAACTCCCCGAAACCAAGCCTTTTCGCAGCGTAAGGGCGCGTAACCATTTTGCATTTTACGTTTTCGACGGACAGTCCGCTTAGAACGAAGCGGACGGTTCTGTTCTCGAGAGCGAGACCGTCCGAATCAAAAATTTGCAACTTCGGACTGTCCAAAGGCTAATGTGACACTTTTTTGGGGTTGTTGATTTTTGCGACTACAGTAACCTCGTTAGAGGCCTTGAATCTTCTTAACTTACCGTACCTCCCGACATTTTCGGCATTATCTTCGTTGGCGAATCGGTATGATTTACTGTACATTAAAATTCGTCCACAAATACCTAGCCAGAAATGGTGGACCGTCCGTTTGGGTTTCGGACAGTCCCGGTTCACAAAGCGGAGTTTTGGAAATGTGGAAAAGTGTCACGACAGTCCGTTAAGTTGGCGACGTCGCCATTTGCGTATTGATTGTTTGAATTTATTACATTTCGCGACGACAGACCGTCCGCAGCTCGAACCGTCGGGTGCAAAATGGTTACGCGCCCTCACCCGTCGCAAAGAAAGTTCAGACCATCCAATCAAGATTTGACATGCGAACACCACCGTCGATTGGCTCGAGATACACAAACGCATCACGGGTAGTACATATGCAAGAATGAAAGTGTAGACAAATGTATTCTACACAATCAATACGCAAATAGTTGAAGGATATGGTCTGCAGAAACCTCAATGCCCGCTGAGCGTATCAAGCATATGCAATGAGGCTGATTGGAATACTAGTAGGTGGTGCTGATATACCAGTAGTAGTGGTGCTGTGCTGATAATAGGCCCAGATAAGCGTAGCCATATGACCCGACGGAAATAAAACGCTTCCGCATTTTGGGGCTGGAAGCGATCGTTTTGAGCGTTTTTCTTCCGCCAGGTCACGCGGCTGTGCTTGTCTGGGCCTATTACTAAGCCAGCAAGGGCGTGGGAGGGTTGCGAGCATCATCGGTCATCGGCGCTCGCGAATGAAGAGCGCCCGCTGCGCTTCTTGCACATTTGCAGATCCTTCCGCGTTTTGGGGTTGGAAGAGCTCGTTCCGAGCGTTTTTCTTCTGCCGTGTCACGTGGCTACGCTTTTCTAGGCCTATTAGGAAGCCAGCAAGGGCTTGGGAGGGTTGCGAGCATCATCGGTCATCGGCATTCGCGAATGAATAGCGACCGCTGCATTTCCTACACATGTGCGGATCCTTCCGCGTTTTGGTGGTGGAAGCGCTCTTTCAAAGCATTTTTCTTCCAAAGGGTCACGTGGCAGCGCTTGTCTAGGCCTATTACCAAGCTAGCAAGGGCGTGGGAGAGTTGCGAGCATCATCGGTCATCGGCGCTCGCGAATGAAGAGCGCCCGCTGCACTTCCTGGACATGTGCGGATCCTTCCGCGTTTTCGGGTTAGAAACACTCGTTTTGAGCGTTTTTCTTGCGCCGGATCATGTGGTTGCGCTTGTCTGAGCCTATTACCAAGCCAGCAAGGGCGTGGGTGTCAGATTATTATAGCTGATGCATGTTTGTAGGCCATAGTGGGGTAGCACATATGGGGTACAGTTTGCTAGGGTTGTATTTGTACCCAACTCTGACTTAGTCAATTCATTCCTCTGCTCATAGTTTCACATGGTATAGAGCTAGGTCCCTCCAGGACCGAATTTTTTTTTTTGGGCCCACCGAAGCGCGCCCCGAGGCGCGCCCTTTTTTGTTTTAGCGACCCTTCGGGTCGCCCTCTCCCCTGCGGCCCCGCCGCCTGCCCCTTACGCGGCCCCGCGCTGGCCCCTTAGGCGGCCCTGCGCCGCCGGCTCCTACGCGGCCCCGCGCCGGCCTCTTACGCGGCCCCGCGCCGGCCTCCTTCTCGGCCCCGCCGCCGGCCTCCTACACGGCCCGCCGCCGGCCTCCTACTCGGCCCGCCGCCGGCCTCCTACACGGCCCCGCGCTGGCCCCTTACGCGGCTCTGCGCCGCCGGCTCCTACGCGGCCCCGCGCCGGCCTCTTACGCGGCCCCGCGCCGGCCTCCTTCTCGGCCCCGCCGCCGCCGGCCCTACCGCCGGCCTTGTCCCGGCCCCGCCACTGCACTGCAGCCGAGCCGCCCAGCAGCAGCCGAGCCGCCCAGCAGCAGCCGAGCCGCCCGGCAGCAGCCGAGCCGCCCAGCAGCAGCCGAGCCGCCCAGCAGCAGCCGAGCCGCCCAGCAGCAGCCGAGCCGCCCAGTAGCAGCCCGAGCCGCCTGCTGCTGACCTACCCGACTCTCCCATCCCGGTGAGACTTTCAGCTGCTGCTATGGCCACCCCCAATGTTCTCACTTTTGACGCTGAGGGGAGGGCCATTGACTTTGCCGTCTGGATCGAGGATCTGCAGCTGTACTTACTGTGTGATGCGGTAGATGAGGTCTCTCTCTTTGACTTTCTCTCTGGCGCTGTCCCTGCCCCGCCTGCTGATGCTGACTCTGCCGTTCGCTCCAAGTGGGCGACCCGCGATGCTGCTGCACGTCTTGCTGTGCGTCGCCACCTCCCTTCCTCTGAGCGTGCCCACTTTAGTCAGTGCAAGACCGCTCAGGCCTTGTACGACGCTGTAGTTGCGCGCTACTCCTCCCCTTCCTCCGCTACCCTTAGCCGCCTCATGCTACCGTTTCTCTTCCCTGACCTCGCTTCCTTTCCCACTGTCGCTGACCTCGTTACCCACCTCCGCGCTAGTGACACCCGCTACCGCGCTGCCCTTCCTGCTGAGTTCCGCGCTGCGAACCCTCCTCCCATGTACATCACTCTCTACTTTCTCGTCACCCGTCTTCCTGAGTCCCTTCGTGTCGTTAGGGACCAGTTTCTCTCTGTCTGTCCCACCACTCTCACTGTCGACCTCCTTGAGGAGTCCCTGCTAGCGGCTGAGAAGAGTATTGTCGCTGTAGGGGCCTCTCGGGGTGACCCTCGCACCCCCATCTTTGAGGGGTGTGGTCCCTCCCCCCTGCTGCCCTCTGTCGCCTCTGCCGCTGCGGCCGACCTCGTTGGTTTTGAGTCGGTCGGCGCGGCGTCTGCCCCCAGTGGCAGACGCCGCACTGGCAAGGGCAAGGGGGGCAAGGGAGCGGGTGGAGCCAGAGGGGGCGGTGGAGGAGGCGGTGGGGGTGGAGGGGGGAGTGGGGGTGGCGGGGGGGGTGGTGGCGGGAGTGGAGGTAGTAGTGGCGGCGGTGGAGGCGGAGGTGGCGGCGGAGGTGGTAGCGGAGGAGGCGGTGGGAGCGGTGGGAGCGACGGTCCTGGTGGGGGAGGTGGCGGTGGCGACGGGGGTGGCGGTGGAGGCGGGGGTGGCGGTGGAGGAGGGGGTCGGAGTGGCTCGTCCCAGCGGAGCAGCTCTGGGGGTGGTCAGCGCCAGCAGCAGCAGCAGCAGCAGCCACAGCAGCAGCCGCAGCAGCAGCAGCGCTCTCGCACCGTCCCCGGCCCTCAGCAGCTCCGTGAGTGGTACTTGCAGCGTCAGCGCGGTGGTGCGCTTGGTCCCTGCCCCTACGTTCTTCGCACTGGTGACCGTGCAGGGGAGAGGTGTGGAGGCGCCCACACAGCCCGTCGCTGCTTTGGCCGCCTGACCGACGCCTGGCGTCAGCAGTTTCCGGAGGCCGCTGAGATCCCCCGCTGGGGAGAGCTGTCTAGGGCTGGTGTAGCTATTTATGATCTTGATTTTGATGCTATTCTCTCTGCTATGTATGCTGTGACTGGTAGTGATGAGGATGACTGTTACCGGTGTTTCCCGCCCGACCCGGGCATTGGTACTGCCGCGTCAGGTACTAGTGAGGCTGCTGCTCTAGGTGCCAGTGCGTCTGTGCTTTCAGGTACTGGTGAGTCCGCCCTCTCAGGTACTGTGTCGGCTTCGGCCTCTCACACCTTCACCCTTGACTCTGGAGCGTCTCGCTCCTTCTTTAGGGACCGCACCACTCTCACGCCGCTGAGTCGGCCTGTTGCGGTGTCCCTGGCGGACCCCTCTGGGGGGCCTGTCCTGTCTCGCTTCTCCACTGTCCTCCCGTGTCCGGCGGCCCCCTCTGGCACC